TATTTGGTCACTATCAGTCTAGCTTTTTATTCCAGATTTCTGTTGAATTCAGATTTTGCTGCCTGCCCTGGAAAGATTGGAACCCATGTCCCCAGAACATTATCCTTAGTTTTTGGATTATTAGTTCAATATTACCATGATACCACTGCTTCCATGCAATGTCACAGATCTTTCAGGGAGAATGGATATTTTAGAACCCTTCCAATATGGACGAGTTGCTGAATGAGATCAGTGGCACGCAGTGAGGGAACCACCAACAGGGAATAAAACTACATGAGTTCATCCCTCTGACCTACCTGTCATAGGTATCTATCCATAACAGTATTGGTAGGAATGAGCAATGTGCAGTTCTTATCAAGACAAAGTCAATCTTTATCCTCTCCAATGTGTTGTGTGGCACTATCAGTGTGCTGGATCGGATAAATTTTGAACAAATCCCACAGATTCAAAGAGCCACCAGCAACAGCACAATTGTATCCAACCACAAGCTGTGACCTTATGACTTGGCATTTCCTAAACTCTACAGTTACCATCAAGCCAGGAGACCAACCCTGGTCCAATGTAGTGTGCAAGTAGGGCACACCAGGAGCAAAGCCAGGTATACCTAAAAATAAGGTACTGACCTGGTGCAGCTACAAAACAAGACTATTTGTATGCAAGAGATAGTCAGAGATAATTAATCCCACATAAACAGTATTACATCCCAGGATCCTAAAAGAGGTAGTTTCAGAGATAGTGGATGCATTAGTTCTAGTTTTCCAAAACTTGTTGGGTTCTGAAGAAGTACCAGAGGTTTGGAAAACATCTAATGTGAAACCCCTATTCAAAAAGGAAGGGAGGGAAGAAGTGGGTAACTATAGGCTGATTAGCCTAACATCTATTGTTGGAAAAGTATTGGAATCAATTGTTAAAGAGGGAATAGCAGAACATTTGGAAAATCATAACCTAAACAAGCAGAATCAGCATGGCTTCATGAAATTAAAATTGTGTCAGACTAATTATTTTTTAGAGTTGTTTGAGGAAGTCTCAACTAGAGTCGATAGAGAGGAACCAGTAGATGTGTTATATTTAGATTTCCTGATGGCATTCGAGAAGGTACCTCACAAAACGTTAAGTTATAACCCACAGTGTTAGAGAGGAAACAGTGAGTGAGGATAAGGGGATTCTTTTTCAGGTTGGCAACCTGTGACTGGTGGGGTTCCACAGGGATCAGTGCTGGGACCACAACAGTTTACAAAATATATTAATGATTTGGAGGAAGGAAGTGAATGTACTGTAGCTAAATTTGCAGACAACACTAAAATAGGTGGCAAGGCAGGTTGTGGGAGGGATCAAGCAGTTTTCAGAGAAATATTGATAGGTTAAGTAAGTGTGCAAAAAGTTGGCGAATAGACTATAAAGTGGGAAAATGCAAAGTTATTCCTTTTGGAAAGAAGAACAAAAGAACAGAATATTATTTGGGGAAAAGCTGGAACACAAAGGGACTTGGGGGCACTGATTTACAAAACACAGAAAACTAGCACATGGGCAACAAGTAATCAGGAAGGCTAATGGAATGTTAGCCCTTATTTCAAGGGTGTTGGAATATGACAGTAGGGATGTTCTACTACTGAAGTTTGAAATGCTGGTGAGACCACAAGTGGAGTACTGTCAGCAGTTTTGGTGCCTTTATTTAAGGAAAGATAGCATTTAATTGGAGGAAGCTCAGGGAAGGTTCACTAGGATAATCCCTGATAAGGAGGGATTTTCTTATGAGCAACAAGTCACCAGATTGGGACTGTACTCACTGAAGTTCAGAAGAATGAGAGGTAACCTCATTGAAACATCTAGGACTCCTAAGTGGCTCACAGGATAAATGCTGAGAGGATGGTTCCCCTCATGCGAAAGTCAAGGGCCAGAGGGAAGAATAAAGGGTCACCAATTTAAGACTGAGACAAGGAGGAATTTCTTCTCTCAGAGGGCTGAGAGTCTCTGGAACTGTTTGCCACAGAGAGCTGTCAGGCAGACTCCTTGTGTATATTTAAGGCTGAGATAAATAGATTCTTGATCAGTCGGGGTACCAAGGGTTACGGGGAAAGGGCAGGAAAGTGGATGTGAGGAATGTCGGATTAGCCATGATCCTAGTGAATGGCACAGGAGGTTTGAGGGGCCTAATGGCCTACTCCTGGTCCAATTTCTTATGGTCTTAATCTTTCAGATATAAGCTCTGCAGACTTGCCACTTCCAATTACGAATGGTAATGGACAATTCAACAACTAACTAGATGTTCAGGTTCCATAAACATCACACTTTTAATAACATGACAGTCGAGCACATCCATACAAAAACAAGGCTGAAGAAGTTGCAACCACTTTTAGTAGAAGTGTCAAATGGGTGATCCATCTCGGCATCCTCCTGAGGTCCCCAGTATTACAGATGACTGTCTTCAGCCAACTTGGTTCATTCCATATAACATCAAGAAATGGCTGGAGACACTAGAGATTGCAAAATCTGTGGGACCTGACAACATTCTGGCAATAGTATTGAACACTTGTTCTCCAGAGCCAGCCTGAGCCCCTAGCCAAGCTGTTCCAGAACACCTGTAACAGCCGCATCTCCCCAAGATTGTGGAAAATTGCTCAAGTAAGTCCTGAGCACTAATACGGGATGAATTAACCTAGCAATTACTGCACAGTTAGCCTACCCTTGATTATGAGCAGCGATGGAAGGTGTTGTCAACAGTGCTATCACGTGTCATTCAGCAATAGCCAACTCACTGATGTTCATTCTGTGTTCTGCCAGGGCCATTTACCTCCTGTCCTCATTATAGCTTTGGTCCAAGCATAGGCAAAACAGCAAAATGCCAGAGGTCAGGTGAGAATAACTGTCTTTGATGACAAGGCAGCATTGGACTGAGTGTGGTATCACGGAGCCCTAGTGAAACTGGAGTCAATGAGAATCGGGGAAATCTCTCTGCTGGTTGGAGTCATGCCTGTACAAAGGAAAATGGCTGTTGTTAATCAAGGTCAATCATTTCAGTCCCAGGATATCACTGCAGGAGTTCCTCAGGGTAGTGTCTCAGATCTAACCATCTTCAATTGCTTCTTTACTGCTCTATCCTCAAGCATTATGTCAGAAGTGAAATGTTCTCTGATGGTTGCACAATGTTCAGTACTATTTACAACTCCTCAGATACTAAACAGCCTATGTCCCCATGCTTCAAGACCCCTGGGCAATATTAGAGCTTAGGCTGATAAGTGGCATGTAATATTTGGGCCACGTAAATGTCAGGCAATAACTGTCTCTAACTAGAGAGAATATAACCGTCCTCCCTTGGTATTCAGCGGTATTTTCATTGCTGAACCTCACTGTCAACATCCTGGGGTTATCATTAACTAGAAACTGAACTGGGCCAGCTATATACATTTTGTGGCTACAGGAACAGGTCAGAAGCGAGGAATTCTTCAGCATGTAACTCACCTCCTGACTCCCAATATCCACCTACCATCTACAAGGTGTACATCGGAAGTATGATGGAATACTCCCCACTTGACTGGGTGGATGCAACTCCAGCAATACACAAGAAGCTTGACACCAGACAGGACAAAGCAGCCCAATTGTTTGGTACCACGTTGAATATTCACCATAATGCACTATGCAGCCATGTGCATCATTGACAAGATACACTGCATTAACTCACAACGGCTCCGTTGAGAACTCCTGTGAAATGCACAGCCTCCACCAGACGCGACAAAGGCAACAGAGAGATTAAAAACAGCAACATCTGCAAGTTGCTCTCCAAGCCACAATCCATTCTACCTTTGAACTATGTTGACCATTTCCTCACTGTCGTAGGATCAAAATCCTGGAACTCCTTCCCTAGCAGTACTGTAGGTGTACCTACACAATGTGGGCTACAGAGGTTCAGGCAGCAGCTCGCTTCCACTTTCCTAGGGGTGTTTGAGGTTGGGTAGTAAATGTTGGCTTAGCCAGTGAAACCCAGATCCCATGAAATAATTTTCGAAAATACACACTGCCCAGGCTGCAATCAAGCTTTTCAGGCCTCAAAGCCCCTGCTTTTCTTCCCAATATGTTCGCACCAACCAAACCCAGCTGAGTCCCAGTAGGGGAGTACCATTTCACCTCTGGGCTGGGTGTGCTGGCAGAAAATATCAACCAGGACGCTGACTCTTGCTCAAAAAGTGCACTTGCAGACCCACAACAATGTGGTTGACCTTTAACTACTCTCTGGACAATTAGGGATGGGCAATAAATGCTGGCCTAAACAGCAATGGCCAATTTCCATGAATAAATAAAAATAAACCCACTGGGATCCAGGGAAATATCCACAGGCACAAGTGGAAAACGCAAGTGGAAGATCATTTTCCCTCTGTGACCTTACGATGAGAAAAATCTTACATTGGCAATTTTGAACTATTCATGAAACATGCTTCACTGGTTTCCTTGAAACTGAATGAATTAATAGGAAGGGGGATAATGTCTCTTGCTGATATTTTTAATACTTCTGATTTTAGAGGACAAGTGAGTATCTTTTCTTCTTTAACCTATTGGACAGAGTACCACAAGCCCTCATCCACTAGGCACAGGGCTGCTCCCAAAGCCCCTGCTTGCCGAGACTCAAAGACCACATCAACAACAATAACCTGTATTTATACAGTTTTCTTAACATCAGGTCACAGGATGCTTAACATGTGGGAAATCAGACACAAATTGATGCTGAATCACATCAGGAAATATTAGGTCAGCTGGGTAAGGGGTTTGCCTATCTGATAACACTCTTGTGAATTGCCTCAAAACATTTTACTTCATTAAAGGCGCTATATAAATGCAAGTCTGTGTTCTTGTTGTCAGTTGCCCTTGATGATTGCATTGTTTTGTGACTGCTTTCAGCTCCTAATGTGTTATCAATGTGGCAGCCTCAACATTGTTCCCTACTTGTAATTTGATAAAACTTGCCCAAGAATGAGTTTTTAAATCTTCTTTCTGTTTCTTCATTCTAGGACTGAATCTGTGGCAGAAAAGATGCTCACCAACTGGTTTACATTCCTCCTGTACAAATTTCTGAAGGTAAGGTTATAAAATGATCTCTCCTCAGTCTGTTTTCCCCCTTTTCTCCCCCCCTTTCCCTTCATTCCATGAGTTGCAGCCTGAATATTACTCTGAGACAAAGCAAATGGAAATAACGCTTGATTTCTTTTAAAAAAATCATGCGGCTTAGAGATAAAGTAATTAACCAAGTGCCATCTGTCGCTATTCTTTTCTAAATTGGAGGTTACGTATCTTTACTACACTGTTTTCTTTTTTTTTGAGATTTTATATTCAAAGAGCATAAACCTTAAATATTCACTCCCTCCAACACTGGTGCGCAGTGGTAGCAGGGTGTGCTATCTACAAAACCCACTGCAGCAACTCGCCAAGCCCCTTTCAACTGTGCTTACTGAACACGCAAGCTCTACCACCTAGAATGACAAGGAATAGTTCATGAACAGGAACCAGCACCTTCTGGCTCAGTGGTTAGCACTGCTGCCTCACAGCGCCAGGGACCTGGGTTCAATTCCAGCCTCGGGTGACTGTCTGTGTGGAGTTTGCACATTCTCCCCGCGTCTGCGTGGGTTTCCTCCGGGTGCTCCGGTTTCCTCCCACAGTCCAAAGATGTGCAGGTTAGGTGGATTGGCCATGATAAATTGTCCGTACTGACTAGGGATGTGCAGGACAGATGGATTGGCCATGGGAATTGCAGGGCTACAGGGATAGAGTAGGTTGGGGGGTGTGGGAAAGCCTTAGGTTTCCATCATGCTGAGTCGGATGAACTGAGCACAGTAAATGTTCACGGCAATTGAGCTCCATGTTCATTTGCGTTAAGGAAGATAAAAATGTCACACAAGGTTGCCCACCAAAAACATGAAATAACACACAGACGTTGGCTGACAACAGGATTGGCCTCCAAAATAATACCCCCTGGGGACAACTGGCCTGCTGACATTCATGATCAGTTCTTGCATTGGGTGCATTAGGCATGATACATGAGCAAGCATCTTCCAGACAGGAAAATGGAACGGAACAAACATGCAACCAAGGAGTAGGACTGTATAACCGATAAAGATTGATGGTCCATATTACTGAAACGGAATGATTAAGTTTAAAGATTAATAGATATAATGATAGTTTATGCATTCAGCCACTTTATTTGCAGCAGTGTTGGAGGTGCTGACTTTCGGATGATAATTTAAACCAAGGTTTCTGTCTACTTTGTAGAGTCAACATAAAGTCTCTTGTCAATTTTTGGAAGATAGGAACACAGTTCTACCCAGGGTCCCGGATGAAATTTATCATTTTCTGAAATAGATTTTATGTTCATTCTCACCTTGCTGTTTGAGGGATCGTGCATGTAATTTGGCTGCTGTCTTTTCTACATTGCACTCAGAGAGCGGAAGTGAGATTTTGATGCATCCAGCACCCATCTATTTAAATGGAATTGGAATCAGGCACCAAATATTGAAGGAAACTACACTGGCTTTTAATCACTTTGGGATATTGATGTTGTGATAGGGGCTTAATAATTGCAAATCTTGACTTCATTCTTCTTTTCCATTGTTAATTGATTCAGATCAAGTCAGTGTGGGAAAGGTAGAGTTATATAGAATTAGTCCACAGTGGACGTTGTTAATTGATTCCCTGAGTCAAGGTGATATCTGAAGAGGCCACTTTAAAGGAATATTTGGCTTTTGTGAACGGATGTCGGTGACAAAGCGACGGGAAGGCTTCTGTTTTCTGCAGCCAGGGTTGATGTTTGAACCTCTTTAATTTTGAATGCGGAACAATTAAAATTGGAGAGTTGTCATCTGTTCACAGCTTGACACTCTGCCTGCTGAGCGTAACTCACAGAGACCAGCTCGTCTTTCTCCATCCTTTTAGTTTCCTTTCTCAAAAATCATTGGCCCCTCACGGGATTTATTGAAACCCTGTTTGGTTATGGTCTGGTGAGATTTCTTGGCACGTTTTGTGACTATAAAGGCTGCTATACAAGTGCAGTTTGTTGTTAGTAGGGTGCCATGAGCACCAGCTGCCTTCTAATTGTTGCTGTTGGACTTTGGCGATAGGTATGAACAGGCTTTAGGACTGTGTCCAGCGGCTGAGTGAGATTAGGAGCGGGAAGCTTGTTCATTCCTTTCCCATTTCCCAATGCAGTGGCACTGTGCCTAAACCATTTGCAGTGGTTCACTGGCACCGCGCCTGAGAATAACCCATATTGCACCATTTATGTCGGTTGTACGGTGCAGTAACTGCAGGTATTGGAAGAGCATGTCTGCTCACTCTGAGGATTGATCTTATATTCGTTCATGGGATCTGGACATCCCAGAGCATTAGCCCAGGGGTTCTGGATTACTAGGCCAGCGTCATTACCGCAATGCTTTTTCTTCCCCTGTCTTCTCTGAATGCCCATCCACAGATGCCAACGTGCTAGCCAGAACTCCCCCAGCCAGCTGTCACATTGTCTATGGTACTGCTGTGGTTATGCCACTGCACTCGTAATCCAGTGGAACAGTTTGGTGGCTCTTTCAAAGAATGGGCACGACATTCTGAATGGCCACTTCTTGTGCTGTCCGAATCGAATGGGTGGGTATGGTGAGGGGGTGAGAAGAAGTTGGGAGGGGCAGTCTGAGGAGGAGGAACACTGTGAATACATGGAATAGGGTGAGATGATGGGTGAAGGGCTGGCTGAGGAGGTTGGTGAGGGTCTTGGTGCAGGGGACAGTTTAGTTGTAGGGCCAGGTGTGAGCAAGGGACTGGGTGAGGGTGAGGGGCTGGATTGTGGATGAGGGGCTGGCTGTGATTGAGGGGCTGGATTATGGGTGAGGGGCTGAGTGTGTGTGCGGGGCAGTGTGTGAGTGAGGGGCCAGATTGTGCATGTGGGGCTAAGTGTGAATAAAGGGCTGGATTGTGGGTGAGGGGCTGCATTGTGAGCAAGGGACTGGGTGTGGGTGAGGAGCTGAAGGAGGGTCTAGGTGTGGGTGAAGGTCTAGAGGAGGGTCTCTGTGCGGGTGAGCGTCTGTGTGCGGGTGAGGGTCTGTGTGCAGATGAGGGTCTGGAGGAGGGTCTGTGTGCGGGTGAGGGTCTGTGTGCGG